TTTGTTAATATTTATGTGGGTATCACTCATGCCACATGTGCACCGTGAACATTATAGCATTGGAGATGCTCTAAGAGCATCTCCAATGCTATAATGTCCAAGGTGCACATGTGGCATGAGTGATAGCCACATAAATATTAACAAATAAATTATTTCTCTCCTTATTTGAATGATTTTATACAATTTTGGTAAGTTTTTCCCTGCAATGTCAACAACAATGTCAACATCTAGACGATCTTCTTGATAGTGTGGAGAAAAACTTACCAAAACTGTATAAAACCATTCAAATAAGGAGAGAAAGATTTATTTACTAATATTTATGTGGCTATTTCTCATGTCACATGTGCACCGCGCACATTTTACCATTGGAGATGCTCTAAAAGTGCACTGAGTGAGAGACCGTTCAAGAATTATTATAAACATTAATTATAGAAAAATTAGTTTTTCTTTATTTATTTCTCCATAATTTTTTTCCTATTTCCGATTTCTAGTTTTTTTTTTTTCAAATTCGAACACACTTTTTCCAATTTTTCTCTAGTTTTCATTTTGTGAAAATAAAGTAAGTATAGAAATGATATTACCTGACGGACTGGCACAACTAAAAAAATGTGTGCATTATGTGAAATAAAGTACTAGTAATTAGAAACATTGGAAGTAACACAAAAAAAATACATACATACAAATTCACGAACAAAGCTTAATAAGTGATATTTTTTTGAATAAGATTCTACTTTGTCTTGAAAAACAAATAAATAGCACTAATGTTATAAAATATTATAATCATGCCAAATTGCATCCACAATAGTTTGTCTAATTTCTCCAAAAAAATAGTTTCTCAAATATCAAGCATTTGTTGCTCTTGAGGTCAAATTGGATCGTTTAATTTCCACTTGTATTTGATGCCTTATGAAGGACCATATGATCCTGCTCATACTCTTGAGAACATTTCATAGTTCTTATCTTCCATGCGAATGAAATATGTAATGCACAACAAACCATGGGGATTTGAACATGCCTTCTCAAGGGGTAAGCATTTATTAAGTTTAGAGATCATTTGACAACACTGTTTTTCAGTTTTTCAGACTTATCAACCAACTTTTTCACCTAACACGTAATTTTTGCTTTCACGTGCTGAATTGTGCAATAAGCAAAAAAAAAAAATAAGGCTGAAGTTACTTTTCTGGCTGTATTGGCTGAAGTTACTGTAGATGACCATTTTAGCTATTTTTACATATAATTTTTTCTATTATGTCTAAAATAATACTAAAAAAAGAGCTATGAACAAAAAAGAGACCTTTATTTCAATTTTCCAAAAATGAGACTAACAATGGGTTAAGAGACTATTATACCCTTATTTTAATAGAATCTCACCCATTAGTCTACAATAACGTCACAGTGACCAAAACCATTATCGTGACCAAAAATCGTCACTGACCAAAAATCATTTGTGACCAAAAATCCAAAAATCCGTCAGTGACCAAAATCATTAGTGACAAAAAATTCTACCTAGTTACCAACGTCAACCCGTCCAGTGACCAATCCGACTAGTGACCATGACCAATCCACCAAGTGAGCAAAAATCATTTGTGACCAAAATTCCAAAAATCCGTCAGTGACCAAAATCATTAGTGACCAAATTTTTTACCTAGTTACCAACGTCAACTCGTCCAGTGACCAATCTGACTAGTGACCATGACCAATCCACCCAGTGACCAAAAATCATTTGTGACAAAAAATCCAAAATTTTGTCAGTGACCAAAATCATTAGTGACCAAAAATCCAGTTACAGTTGCCAAATCCGTCGTCTAGTTACAGTTACCAAATCCGTCGTCTAGTTAAAGTTACCAAATCCGTCGTCCAGTTACATTTAACGACCCGTCAAGTTACAGTTAACTAACTCCAGTTACAATTACCCGACCCGTCTAGTTACAGTTACCTGACCCGCTATCCAATTACAGTTATCTGATCCGTCCAGTTACAATTACCTAACTTGTCCAATTACAATTACCAGTGTTACCCGAATAGTCCAGTTAAAATTACTCGATTTGACCAAGTACAATTACTTGACTCGTCAATTACAGTTATCCGACTCGTCAATTACAATTACCCGACCAATTAAAATTACATAATCAGACATTAACCGGCAATTTAGTTATAGTTATCTGACCCACCAACCCGTTACAGTTGCTGAATCCGATAGTGACCACCCCTACCACCGCAGCCGGCCACAATAGCTACTGACGGCAGCGCCGCCACCGCCGCCAATCCGCCACCACACCTCCTTGACACACAGCCCCCCTCTTCTGCCTCCAATGGTGTCCTAGCCTCCCTCTTCAGCTTCCCCCTCTACAGCCACCTGGACCCTACCCAATCCACCTTCCCAATCCGTCCACCACCAATGCCACGCTGCTCACCAGCCCCGCCGCTGCCCCCACTCCAGTTCAGTCGCCACCACCGTTCCTCTTCCCCAACCTCCACCCTAATCGCCTTCCCCAGTCGCCTCACAATAGCTAATAAACCCTAGCCACCACATATCTGATATCTTCATATATCCTTATCGAGAGCAGCCGCCGTGCGTCGGATATGACGATTACAGATCTCTTCAGCCGCATCCCAAAATCGGACAAAAGAAGAAGAAAAGACAAGCTAGGCGGCGGCGGCGTACGATGGAGGGAGGCGACGTAAGACAGGGGGTGGAGACGGCGTACGCTGCGAACGATGTTGGGACCTGTGGCGGCGTACGCTGGGACGCTGGACGGAAGTATTCTTCACGCGGTAGATTAAAAGAAGAGAACGGTGATGCAGATGTCGGCCAGATGCTGTTTTCTAATTTTTGAAACAAGGGCATTTTAGTCTTTGAATCTAATTTGAGTCTTCTTTTTGTCAAAAAAGAGGTCCGTTCCCTTTTTCGTCCACCTCATACTTGGAGGTAGTATATCTGCCATTCTTTCTTATTTTATTGATAAAATACATTTTAAAAATATTTTTTTCTTAAATCAGCAGCCAATGCAGCCACTTCGGCCAGAACTTCATAAATTTTAGCAGAATCAGCCAAAACAGCCGATTTTCGTGCTACCAAATGGACTCTTAGAATAGAAAATCTTTCCTTTGGTACTCTGAAACACCTCTTGTCACATTACGCAATAATGACAATACTAGATTTTTTATTCATTGTTGATCCTTAATTGTTGCGGTTTCAATAACAATTGCAACAAATAGTAATTTTGTACATTTTTAATGTATTTTTCATGTTTATTGCTGCACATTTACCTCGGAACCGCATAAAATAAACATTGTTATAGTTTTTAAGTTAAAAATATACTTTTTTCCGCGATTATAGCTACAACTGCAGCAAAAAGTATTATTTTTCAAAATTTTAAGTATTCTTTTACATGCTCAGATGACCAATTGACACAGTTTTTTAAAACCACAAATTTTTCATTATCTATGGACCAAAGTTAGTACAAACTCATTTGTTATAGGAAAAAATTATGATACTTAAAAGTAAGCTATAAAATACAAAAAATGTGAAAATTGCTATTCCTAATTTAACAAAGAAAATAGATTATTCAATATACACAGTTACATAGGTCTCGAAACAATATGTGATTTAAAAAATTACCCCGAACAAATACACTAACGCGAAATAAAGTGCATTTAAGGTAATCTAAAAAGATGTATTATCTGTTACAATTATAGCCTTGGAATAACACTTGAAGACATATTTCTAATTTTTCTTCCATGTTGAGGGCGTAGATCAATTGGTAGGGAGAGGTGTCACGAGACGTCCCAAGTCCAAGTGTCCAACTCCAGACAAAGATATGGACCGGAATCTCACTCCCTCTCTACAAGTATGTGATCAAAGCTTAACTTACACTCTTCCAGATAAATGTTCAACTGATTCTATGTGATCAAAGTTTAATTCACACTCTTCAAGATAAATCTTCAACCGATTCTATGAGTCTCAAAAATAAGGTCATCCTTTTTTAATTGTTCTTCCGCACATAAAATGTTCAACCCTTTAGCGGAGTAATAATGAGAGTCGGGGAAGGGTAGACGAATTATATTAACCGGACGCGATGTAGCACCGTGTATTTTTATTTTGAAAAATATGGAAAAAAGAATTCACTAGCCTTTTAGTTATGCAAGTAAGTTAATGGGATAATTACTTAGAGCATCCACATTCATGGTACTCAATTTTGCGGTTTTTTATGGGTTAATATTGCCGTGTCACTTCCACATAAGAAAATCTCAAATAATCTCCAAACCAATTAAATTCTCCTCAACCATGATCTTAATTTATCAAGGGCAAGATTTTCTTTGAGACATACATTTAATTTCTAGAAAACAAAGTGCATGCATAATTCCTCAAAAAGTATACATACAAGTACTAGTTGGTGGGTAGATGGTTTTACAATTATGAGTGTGCCTAGAAAAGTGGGAGAGGAGTCTAAAAGTTGGAAATAATCTCAAAATAATCCAGCTTTAGAATTTGATACCAGATTATTTTATCAAATAATCTCATAAAATAATTTCAACTCCTCATTCATGATCCCAAAAAAGATCCTTCACATCATCAAAATAATCCCAAAAATAATCTATGGACGGGGATGCTCTTATATTAATGAATTATACATATTATTAGGTATAGAAATGTAATATTTTGTCAAATTTAAGGAATATAAAACATGCAATCCTATTTTTTGAAGTTGAATATGTTTTTAATCCTACTTTGAGAAATTTCCTCTTTCAAAAACCCTGTTTGTAGATGTGTATATTTAGTTTTTTAAAATAGGCTAGAAAACTGGATTCATAACAGAGCCCAAACCGACAGAACAAATTGAAATGATATATACAGTACAGATTCCAATATCATTAGGCTTGGACCCGGTTCAGGCCACCCGGCCCGGGAACCGGCTCGGCCCGGTACTGTGCGTGTAACACCCCTCTCAGGGTTAAAGGAATCGTTACACTAACTTACTACTTTTAAAAAAAATAGCTGCAATTAACGGCCGTCTATTTAAGAAAATAACCCTGATAAAATCTCAAATATAATTAAAGTATAACTCTTGATAAAAACTCAATAAAATATAGTTATCACCAGCACATGTGATAACCACCTGGATCCAGGAATTTGCTAAAACTTCAAATCCTCAAATAAAAAAGATAAAGTAATATAAGTCACTTTATTATAACACTGAAATACTGAAACCAAATATTATCTAGCTAGAAGCCACCAAGGTCGTTCCCGTTAACTCATCTTGGCACGCGTTCCACTCCCTCGTCATCTTCCTAGGCCTTGGCCTTACCCTTAGTATCTGTACATGCGAAGAAAGAAAACTGATAAGCTTTACGCTTAGTAAGTCACTATGGATCCACAAAAATATATGAAAAGTCTATGCTAATTTATCAATAGATAAAATTAGGCTATAAGCATGCACTGAACAAGTAACTAACACAATAACACATATCTTCTCAAATTCATTTTGAGGGAGATCTCAAAAGGAAATATTTTCTAAAATAATTTCTCAAAACTGCTGGAGAGATCTCAAAATTTCTTTCTAAAAACATCTCTGTAAACTTTCTGAAGGAGATCTCAAAAACAACTTTCTGTAAGACTTTCTGAAAGAGATCTCATTAAACTTTCTGTAAAACTTTCTGAAAGAGATCTCATTAAACTTTCTGTAAAACTCTTTGTGGCTAATTTTAACTGTGGGCCCGTGATATGTACTCAATGGCGCCAATCTGACAGCTCAGGGAAGCGACCCACTAAACATATCGGACTATCTAAAACTAAAACTGCTAATCTGAGGGATCTAATTCCCGAGTACATATCACTTAATCTTTCACTTTAAGTATTAGTTCTTTTTATGGTGACGTTTGACTAAACATCATTAAATCTGGAAACGAAAGTACTAACAAATCTTGACTATGCCAGATAATAAACATAACTTAATCTAGCAATAAAATAACTCATCACATAATTCACATAGTTCACATAATAGCAAATAGTCTAAAATTATCTATTAAAAATCAACCAGACTTCTTTCTTTCATTTGGTTGAACAAACATGTACAGGTGGTAGTGAACTTACCTGTTAGCAGCTGAACTCAAAATACTCAGATAAGTGTGGCACCTTGATAACGTCTCCCCGGTAAGCTCTTCTCTTAAATCTTTAATTGAGTATAATATTACAATAAAAACTCATTATACTATAACCAAAGCTTAAAAGTGCAGACCAAATGACCAATTTAGTGATCTTTTGCTACTACCCAAGTTAGTTGTTTGAGGAAAATATGAACTGTCCGGGTCTTGTTTTTTTTTTTTGTTCTTTCTAACAAAACACAAATTATTACCTAAAACTAAACTGATATTCAGGTCATCCACTAAAGAAATCTAGCTAAGCACCAATCGATTATACATTTTGAATACATGAAAAAAAATGGAATTCTTCTATTTTAAAATCTCTATGCATCAACTTATTAACTCGTCAATCAAAAATCCCCAAAATTAAAATAAATGAAACTAGCCCCCCTGAAGATAAAAAAAACTCAAGCTTAGGTTTCAAACAAATCACTTTTCAGACAATTATGCCTTCAAACCTGTAAAGAAATCTTAAAATCGAAAAATAGCAGCAGTTATCAGACTGGTCTACGATTGAATTGAAGTAAATCTAAAGTTAAGACAAAGTTTGAACTACGAAGTATAACATTAGCTCTAAGGACCTGATTCTGTGAGTTAGCAGCCCTATGCAGCTTCTAAAATAAACCAACCTCCATGTTCTCTAAACAAGTACTAATTTAAAAAAAAAATCAATTATGCCAATTCCACTCAAAAATACAACCGAACAGTTTAACCAAAAAATTTAGAATTGCTTTCGGTGGAAACTTTTCTGCCTAAATAAACAACCTACTTTCAAAAGTATTCTGGCAATGTAAAAAGAAAGTATGTGACCGAAGGAAACTTGTAACATACCAGGTTTTAGATTTGATTCAGAACTAAGTACAACTTTGATCGCAAATTGAAAGTAATGAAAACTCTTCCGGGGAGAAGAGACGGCTGCTGATGGAAGGATAGAGACGCATGTCGAGACCTTGGTTTTTAATAACACGTATGACCACTTCTTAGGGATTTCAATCTCAAACATGGGCTTAGTTAACTGAATTGGGCTTCTAATCATCTCTTAAAAATATGTTTCTAAGACATTAAAAGTATCTTCTATTTAAAAATAAACTGATTAAGCTTTAAAACATTACTTATTTCTCCACTTGAAATTATTAGAGCTTACCGGTCAACGTTAACTGCCAAAACAACACATGATCAAACAATAAATCACATTATTCATAAAATAAACTTATTCATCTAACTAAATAAAATAAAAAATTAATGTAACTAGATCGCTAAACTCGGGGTGTTACAACCCCTCCCACCTTATAAAAGTTTCGTCCTCGAAACTTAGAACAACGCGGGATAACGCCATCTCACATTATTTCTTTTCTGACCTCTCACATGGTTTTAATGCAACGACAATAACTTTGTATCTTTTACAAGGTTACTTACTTCAGGAGCATGTGACTTTAATGCTTCAATTTCAAACTGACATTTCTTGCAATTATTAATCAGATCATGTTTCTATTATTGGGGAGACATACTACTACTACACAAGATCACAACAAATTCTTGATAATTTACCTCAACAAGAAAACTTGTTTAAACACTAATATTTTCTGCTAACACTACATCACAAGATCACAATCTCACAAGATTGCATATGTATACTAATTACTTTGCCTATTTTGCTTATTAAAATGAAAAGGAAAAACAATAGTCAAATTTTACTGTGTCATAAAAACTTACCCCACATACTACTAAAAATGAAAATGAAAATCACCTTCCACTGGTATTGGTATGCCTACATAAGCCAAACTTTTTTTTTTAAAAATATATAAGAATAGAACTCTTTCCAAAATTAATCCTTGATTGCTGAAATTCTAGCATTACAGTATCTGAAAAATGTTTTCTTCCCTGTGATCTTTAAGAGTTTCCTCTTCACAATTTATTGACGGTGTGGGTAAGGATGGAGTTTTCTCATTCGCCATTTATCGATTCTATCCAACAGATTGCTTTATTTATGCAACACGCCCTTTTTGTATTATACCAACTTATTAGCTATCTCACAAACTGTTCATCGTAGCAGCGTTATGACGTATGAGACTCATATGTAAGCCTATTTTTTTTTTTAAAAAAAAAATTAATGACACAAACATAGTATTATGTATTTACTGTTGGATCCTTATGACTTCTTCTTCTTTTAGGCGTGATGAAGTACTCAAGTCTAGTGCATGTTTTATACTTTCAAGAAAAATCATTCTCTTGGTATGTTACACTTCTACTGTCTATTGTCAAGGTGGTTCTCTACAAGAAAATCTTTCCTAAAGCATAAGGGGAATCTTCATTTGTTTTAATAATCCACTGTAAATTCTAAAGTAGATTAAACTACTAAACTCTCTTCTTCTTCTTCTTTTTTTACCACGCAACACCTCACAATTATCTTTTCATCAAAAAGAAAAACAGACTTTCTTGTGTTTCTATACCTCTGGAGCCCAAACTTGTACTTCACTGATTTGTATTCCTGAGTAGTCAGGAAGTTGAATTAAATTGTAAATTAAATTTTTCATTTTTATCTTAGAATTTCAGTTTTGAAACAAACAACTATATCTAATTTTTAATGAGGTGAGCATCTATCTTATCCAATCTTAAAACATATATACTGTATAATTTAGTAATTGAAACTAATAGCCTCAATATCTAGAAGAAAAATCTTCTTGGGCTCCCTCTATATATCAGTATGCGGGTTAACATTAAACTGCCAATATTCAAAAGGAACTGTTTGTTTAGCTTTAAAATTTTCATGTTTCTTAAACACAAGACATCATAAATATTCTGTTTAACAAAATTTGAGATTGTCAAACACATAAGTGTCCGACATAAAATATTTGACAAAATATCATTATTATTATTTTTAAACGAATTTGACAAAAAAATACTTGACAACAGACATTCTTTTGTTTTCAATAATTTCTTTATAATTCTCTCTCTTTGCTTCCTTAATTAGCTGTAGGATGATTCGGAAAAAAAATGCTATGGATTTTTTTTTAAACCCTTCATCCCTTCACTAATAAAAAAAAATGTGTTATGTTCAAACATGTAGTCTGTACGAGACAAAATAATAATAATAATAATAATATTTTAATTGTAAACTTCCTTTGGGCCGTTCATTATCGAAAGTTACTTCTTCGCTAATATTCCACAATAATGTTCCTTCTAACTTTAATCTTCCAACTATGTCAAAATAAGGAAGCCAAACTGCAAGTAACACATAATTCCATAGGTCATCTGGTAATAAACTGTACAGGGTCATATCCAAGACTAACTTAGACTAAATAATGAAATTTTCCGCAGTAAAAGTCTAACTCAGAATCCATTGTTTTTTTTTACACGGCATCTTTATTATGCTCTTTAGATTTCAATTGTAAAAAATAAACTAATCAAGGAATCTACACGATATCTTTCAAAAGAAAAATCTAAATAATTACGCTCTTATCGGTTTTATATTCTAAATTTTAACTCCACTGATATATACTGATTTATTCAATCAAAAGTCGCACAGTACAACTTACCCAACTTTCCGGGTTTAAGCCTTTGACTTATAACAGTTTGTGGTGCCAACTTTATACTCTTTACTCCCACCAATTATTCTATTACTCATAGAGCATACTAGTTCCCCACACAAGCTCGTTGGGATACACTTTACCATTACTCATACATAATGGTTCTACGAGAGCTTGATAGTACCATACTACCATATTCTTTATTCTATCAAAATCTTCGTACTCTAGGTCACATCGTATTGAAACACACTTCACAAATCCCTATATCGTAGTGTGCACGAGGAGGTTCCAAGACTCACATGATCTACCAGAAACTAGTTTAATCTAATCCTTCCACTCAGCTCTTGTAATCTAACTTCTACGGACCAGATACTATTAAAGACTTGAATCACATATATAGACTTTAATGGCAGATCATTCTAAAGAAATTTAAGTGGTGAGACTCAATATCCTTTTGGTAACCAATGGGGGAAAAATGTGAGGGCAACCTTTGTAAAAAGAATGTACAACATTTTTTTAAATCTCAGTGCCAAAAGCTGAGAATACTCTGAAAATTTCTTTGAGATATTTTAAAACTCTAAATTTCTTCTGAAACATACTTTTGAGGAAATAACTAAATACAATACTAATATATCACTAAAAAAATTACTTATTTGAATTTTGGTAAAAAAAAATCACTGCCATGTGATCAATCATTAATCACTAAACGCATTAAATGATTAATCAACACACTTTAAAACTTATTTTGAAATAAGCATTTACAACGTAAAGAAATGTATAATCTGACCATTGATCATTTTAAAGTAGTGTCCGATCACCGATATCTCCTGTTGGAATCATCAAATCGCTGAGGGGCCCTCCCAGCAATTTAAGATACCAAACATGAAACACCGACACTCAACACTTAAAAAAAAATCATGCAGCTTATGATATTGTTGATAAAACATTTGAATCCACTATTTAAGAGCTTTTGAAATCTAAAGTGAAGCTTCAACATTTTACATTAAAAAAATAAGCTCTAACTTATAACTACACTATTTTTTTTTTGGCAAATAATAAGATAGAGCTAATATCATGAGCATTTTTAAAATAGTTTTAATTTATAAATAGATAAATGCAATAACTATAATACAATGACTCACGTGCTTGTGGGAAATATTCTTTCGTTGTAAGCACCGGGTCGGTGTGGTCCTACCAAACTGACATTTTATTTGATATATGTGTGCTAATAAATAAAAATAACTGATGGGAATCGAGTAATAAAACATGAAATATTAGACCAATTCTAAAACTTTTTTTTTAATCTAATTTAAATCTTGAGTAGACGGGGTGTATTCAAAATGTCTATTATGAAAGATCAACAAGATCTGAATGGTAAGACTGTAAATACTTAACCACGAGACATATATGACCAGTAGTCTACAACTATGGTGTTTTAAATAACCACCCTAAATACTTCCTATATGAAATAGAAGATCTAACTTAAGAGTTTAGGCACTCGAATAAAATTTTAATCTGGATAACTTGTAATGACATAATGGTTTTACGAGTTGAGTATACATTACTCTTACTTGACTTTTCTATCTAACTAATACCAACAACACCCAAATATATTATGGCCTAGATGACTCTTTACATAAATAAGTACTTACTTGGAAGATGACGAGCACGTGTACGGTGACAGATGAAGTTACGGGACAACCTGGGCTCTGATACCAAATTTGTAACGCCCCTCTCAGGGTTAAAGGAATCGTTACACTAACTTACTACTTTTAAAAAAAATAGCTGCAATTAACGGCCGTCTATTTAAGAAAATAACCCTGATAAAATCTCAAATATAATTAAAGTATAACTCTTGATAAAAACTCAATAAAATATAGTTATCACCAGCACATGTGATAACCACCTGGATCCAGGAATTTGCTAAAACTTCAAATCCTCAAATAAAAAAGATAAAGTAATATAAGTCACTTTATTATAACACTGAAATACTGAAACCAAATATTATCTAGCTAGAAGCCACCAAGGTCGTTCCCGTTAACTCATCTTGGCACGCGTTCCACTCCCTCGTCATCTTCCTAGGCCTTGGCCTTACCCTTAGTATCTGTACATGCGAAGAAAGAAAACTGATAAGCTTTACGCTTAGTAAGTCACTATGGATCCACAAAAATATATCAGAAGTCTATGCTAATTTATCAATAGATAAAATTAGGCTATAAGCATGCACTGAACAAGTAACTAACACAATAACACATATCTTCTCAAATTCATTTTGAGGGAGATCTCAAAAGGAAATATTTTCTAAAATAATTTCTCAAAACTGCTGGAGAGATCTCAAAATTTCTTTCTAAAAACATCTCTGTAAACTTTCTGAAGGAGATCTCAAAAACAACTTTCTGTAAGACTTTCTGAAAGAGATCTCATTAAACTTTCTGTAAAACTTTCTGAAAGAGATCTCATTAAACTTTCTGTAAAACTCTTTGTGGCTAATTTTAACTGTGGGCCCGTGATATGTACTCAATGGCGCCAATCTGACAGCTCAGGGGAGCGACCCACTAAACATATCGGACTATCTAAAACTAAAACTGCTAATCTGAGGGATCTAATTCCCGAGTACATATCACTTAATCTTTCACTTTAAGTATTAGTTCTTTTTATGGTGACGTTTGACTAAACATCATTAAATCTGGAAACGAAAGTACTAACAAATCTTGACTATGCCAGATAATAAACATAACTTAATCTAGCAATAAAATAACTCATCACATAATTCACATAGTTCACATAATAGCAAATAGTCTAAAATTATCTATTAAAAATCAACCAGACTTCTTTCTTTCATTTGGTTGAACAAACATGTACAGGTGGTAGTGAACTTACCTGTTAGCAGCTGAACTCAAAATACTCAGATAAGTGTGGCACCTTGATAACGTCTCCCCGGTAAGCTCTTCTCTTAAATCTTTAATTGAGTATAATATTACAATAAAAACTCATTATACTATAACCAAAGCTTAAAAGTGCAGACCAAATGACCAATTTAGTGATCTTTTGCTACTACCCAAGTTAGTTGTTTGAGGAAAATATGAACTGTCCGGGTCTTGTTTTTTTTTTCTTTCTAACAAAACACAAATTATTACCTAAAACTAAACTGATATTCAGGTCATCCACTAAAGAAATCTAGCTAAGCACCAATCGATTATACATTTTGAATACATGAAAAAAAATGGAATTCTTCTATTTTAAAATCTCTATGCATCAACTTATTAACTCGTCAATCAAAAATCCCCAAAATTAAAATAAATGAAACTAGCCCCCCTGAAGATAAAAAAAACTCAAGCTTAGGTTTCAAACAAATCACTTTTCAGACAATTATGCCTTCAAACCTGTAAAGAAATCTTAAAATCGAAAAATAGCAGCAGTTATCAGACTGGTCTACGATTGAATTGAAGTAAATCTAAAGTTAAGACAAAGTTTGAACTACGAAGTATAACATTAGCTCTAAGGACCTGATTCTGTGAGTTAGCAGCCCTATGCAGCTTCTAAAATAAACCAACCTCCATGTTCTCTAAACAAGTACTAATTTAAAAAAAAATCAATTATGCCAATTCCACTCAAAAATACAACCGAACAGTTTAACCAAAAAATTTAGAATTGCTTTCGGTGGAAACTTTTCTGCCTAAATAAACAACCTACTTTCAAAAGTATTCTGGCAATGTAAAAAGAAAGTATGTGACCGAAGGAAACTTGTAACATACCAGGTTTTAGATTTGATTCAGAACTAAGTACAACTTTGATCGCAAATTGAAAGTAATGAAAACTCTTCCGGGGAGAAGAGACGGCTGCTGATGGAAGGATAGAGACGCATGTCGAGACCTTGGTTTTTAATAACACGTATGACCACTTCTTAGGGATTTCAATCTCAAACATGGGCTTAGTTAACTGAATTGGGCTTCTAATCATCTCTTAAAAATATGTTTCTAAGACATTAAAAGTATCTTCTATTTAAAAATAAACTGATTAAGCTTTAAAACATTACTTATTTCTCCACTTGAAATTATTAGAGCTTACCGGTCAACGTTAACTGCCAAAACAACACATGATCAAACAATAAATCACATTATTCATAAAATAAACTTATTCATCTAACTAAATAAAATAAAAAATTAATGTAACTAGATCGCTAAACTCAGGGTGTTACAACCCCTCCCACCTTATAAAAGTTTCGTCCTCGAAACTTAGAACAACGCGGGATAACGCCATCTCACATTATTTCTTTTCTGACCTCTCACATGGTTTTAATGCAACGACAATAACTTTGTATCTTTTACAAGGTTACTTACTTCAGGAGCATGTGACTTTAATGCTTCAATTTCAAACTGACATTTCTTGCAATTATTAATCAGATCATGTTTCTATTATTGGGGAGACATACTACTACTACACAAGATCACAACAAATTCTTGATAATTTACCTCAACAAGAAAACTTGTTTAAACACTAATATTTTCTGCTAACACTACATCACAAGATCACAATCTCACAAGATTGCATATGTATACTAATTACTTTGCCTATTTTGCTTATTAAAATGAAAAGGAAAAACAATAGTCAAATTTTACTGTGTCATAAAAACTTACCCCACATACTACTAAAAATGAAAATGAAAATCACCTTCCACTGGTATTGGTATGCCTACATAAGCCAAACTTTTTTTTTTTAAAAATATATAAGAATAGAACTCTTTCCAAAATTAATCCTTGATTGCTGAAATTCTAGCATTACAGTATCTGAAAAATGTTTTCTTCCCTGTGATCTTTAAGAGTTTCCTCTTCACAATTTATTGACGGTGTGGGTAAGGATGGAGTTTTCTCATTCGCCATTTATCGATTCTATCCAACAGATTGCTTTATTTATGCAACACGCCCTTTTTGTATTATACCAACTTATTAGCTATCTCACAAACTGTTCATCGTAGCAGCGTTATGACGTATGAGACTCATATGTAAGCCTATTTTTTTTTTAAAAAAAAAAATTAATGACACAAACATAGTATTATGTATTTACTGTTGGATCCTTATGACTTCTTCTTCTTTTAGGCGTGATGAAGTACTCAAGTCTAGTGCATGTTTTATACTTTCAAGAAAAATCATTCTCTTGGTATGTTACACTTCTACTGTCTATTGTCAAGGTGGTTCTCTACAAGAAAATCTTTCCTAAAGCATAAGGGGAATCTTCATTTGTTTTAATAATCCACTGTAAATTCTAAAGTAGATTAAACTACTAAACTCTCTTCTTCTTCTTCTTTTTTTACCACGCAACACCTCACAATTATCTTTTCATCAAAAAGAAAAACAGACTTTCTTGTGTTTCTATACCTCTGGAGCCCAAACTTGTACTTCACTGATTTGTATTCCTGAGTAGTCAGGAAGTTGAATTAAATTGTAAATTAAAATTTTCATTTTTATCTTAGAATTTCAGTTTTGAAACAAACAACTATATCTAATTTTTAATGAGGTGAGCATCTATCTTATCCAATCTTAAAACATATATACTGTATAATTTAGTAATTGAAACTAATAGCCTCAATATCTAGAAGAAAAATCTTCTTGGGCTCCCTCTATATATCAGTATGCGGGTTAACATTAAACTGCCAATATTCAAAAGGAACTGTTTGTTTAGCTTTAAAATTTTCATGTTTCTTAAACACAAGACATCATAAATATTCTGTTTAACAAAATTTGAGATTGTCAAACACATAAGTGTCCGACATAAAATATTTGACAAAATATCATTATTATTATTTTTAAACGAATTTGACAAAAAAATACTTGACAACAGACATTCTTTTGTTTTCAATAATTTCTTTATAATTCTCTCTCTTTGCTTCCTTAATTAGCTGTAGGATGATTCGGAAAAAAAATGCTATGGATTTTTTTTTAAACCCTTCATCCCTTCACTAATAAAAAAAAATGTGTTATGTTCAAACATGTAGTCTGTACGAGACAAAATAATAATAATAATAATAATAATAATAATAATAATAATAATATTTTAATTGTAAACTTCCTTTGGGCCGTTCATTATCGAAAGTTACTTCTTCGCTAATATTCCACAATAATGTTCCTTCTAACTTTAATCTTCCAACTATGTCAAAATAAGGAAGCCAAACTGCAAGTAACACATAATTCCATAGGTCATCTGGTAATAAACTGTACAGGGTCATATCCAAGACTAACTTAGACTAAATAATGAAATTTTCCGCAGTAAAAGTCTAACTCAGAATCCATTGTTTTTTTTACACGGCATCTTTATTATGCTCTTTAGATTTCAATTGTAAAAAATAAACTGATCAAGGAATCTACACGATATCTTTCAAAAGAAAAATCTAAATAATTACGCTCTTATCGGTTTTATATTCTAAATTTTAACTCCACTGATATATACTGATTTATTCAATCAAAAGTCGCACAGTACAACTTACCCAACTTTCCGGGTTTAAGCCTTTGACTTATAACAGTTTGTGGTGCCAACTTTATACTCTTTACTCCCACCAATTATTCTATTACTCATAGAGCATACTAGTTCCCCACACAAGCTCGTTGGGATACACTTTACCATTACTCATACATAATGGTTCTACGAGAGCTTGATAGTACCATACTACCATATTCTTTATTCTATCAAAATCTTCGTACTCTAGGTCACATCGTATTGAAACACACTTCACAAATCCCTATATCGTAGTGTGCACGAGGAGGTTCCAAGACTCACATGATCTACCAGAAACTAGTTTAATCTAATCCTTCCACTCAGCTCTTGTAATCTAACTTCTACGGACCAGATACTATTAAAGACTTGAATCACATATATAGACTTTAATGGCAGATCATTCTAAAGAAATTTAAGTGGTGAGACTCAATATCCTTTTGGTAACCAATGGGGGAAAAAATGTGAGGGCAACCTTTGTAAAAAGAATGTACAACATTTTTTTAAATCTCAGTGCCAAAAGCTGAGAATACTCTGAAAATTTCTTTGAGATATTTTAAAACTCTAAATTTCTTCTGAAACATACTTTTGAGGAAATAACTAAATACTATACTAATATATCACTAAAAAAATTACTTATTTGAATTTTGGTAAAAAAAAATCACTGCCATGTGATCAATCATTAATCACTAAACGCATTAAATGATTAATCAACACACTTTAAAACTTATTTTGAAATAAGCATTTACAACGTAAAGAAATGTATAATCTGACCATTGATCATTTTAAAGTAGTGTCCGATCACCGATATCTCCTGTTGGAATCATCAAATCGCTGAGGGGCCCTCCCAGCAATTTAAGATACCAAACATGAAACACCGACACTCAACACTTAAAAAAAATCATGCAGCTTATGATATTGTTGATAAAACATTTGAATCCACTATTTAAGAGCTTTTGAAATCTAAAGTGAAGCTTCAACATTTTACATTAAAAAAATAAGCTCTAACTTATAACTACACTATTTTTTTTTGGCAAATAATAAGATAGAGCTAATATCATGAGCATTTTTAAAATAGTTTTAATTTATAAATAGATAAATGCAATAACTATAATACAATGACTCACGTGCTTGTGGGAAATATTCTTTCGTTGTAAGCACCGGGTCGGTGTGGTCCTACCAAACTGACATTTTATTTGATATATGTGTGCTAATAAATAAAAATAACTGATGGGAATCGAGTAATAAAACATGAAATATTAGACCAATTCTAAAACTTTTTTTTTAATCTAATTTAAATCTTGAGTAGACGGGGTGTATTCAAAATGTCTATTATGAAAGATCAACAAGATCTGAATGGTAAGACTGTAAATACTTAACCACGAGACATATATGACCAGTAGTCTACAACTATGGTGTTTTAAATAACCACCCTAAATACTTCCTATATGAAATAGAAGATCTAACTTAAGAGTTTAGGCACTCGAATAAAATTTTAATCTGGATAACTTGTAATGACATAATGGTTTTACGAGTTGAGTATACATTACTCTTACTTGACTTTTCTATCTAACTAATACCAACAACACCCAAATATATTATGGCCTAGATGACTCTTTACATAAATAAGTACTTACTTGGAAGATGACGAGCACGTGTACGGTGACAGATGAAGTTACGGGACAACCTGGGCTCTGATACCAAATTTGTAACGCCCCTCTCAGGGTTAAAGGAATCGTTACACTAACTTACTACTTTTAAAAAAAATAGCTGCAATTAACGGCCGTCTATTTAAGAAAATAACCCTGATAAAATCTCAAATATAATTAAAGTATAACTCTTGATAAAAACTCAATAAAATATAGTTATCACCAGCACATGTGATAACCACCTGGATCCAGGAATTTGCTAAAACTTCAAATCCTCAAATAAAAAAGATAAAGTAATATAAGTCACTTTATTATAACACTGAAATACTGAAACCAAATATTATCTAGCTAGAAGCCACCAAGGTCGTTCCCGTTAACTCATCTTGGCACGCGTTCCACTCCCTCGTCATCTTCCTAGGCCTTGGCCTTACCCTTAGTATCTGTACATGCGAAGAAAGAAAACTGATAAGCTTTACGCTTAGTAAGTCACTATGGATCCACAAAAATATATGAGAAGTCTATGCTAATTTATCAATAGATAAAATTAGGCTATAAGCATGCACTGAACAAGTAACTAACACAATAACACATATCTTCTCAAATTCATTTTGAGGGAGATCTCAAAAGGAAATATTTTCTAAAATAATTTCTCAAAACTGCTGGAGAGATCTCAAAATTTCTTTCTAAAAACATCTCTGTAAACTTTCTGAAGGAGATCTCAAAAACAACTTTCTGTAAGACTTTCTGAAAGAGATCTCATTAAACTTTCTGTAAAACTTTCTGAAAGAGATCTCATTAAACTTTCTGTAAAACTCTTTGTGGCTAATTTTAACTGTGGGCCCGTGATATGTACTCAATGGCGCCAATCTGACAGCTCAGGGGAGCGACCCACTAAACATATCGGACTATCTAAAACTAAAACTGCTAATCTGAGGGATCTAATTCCCGAGTACATATCACTTAATCTTTCACTTTAAGTATTAGTTCTTTTTATGGTGACGTTTGACTAAACATCATTAAATCTGGAAACGAAAGTACTAACAAATCTTGACTATGCCAGATAATAAACATAACTTAATCTAGCAATAAAATAACTCATCACATAATTCACATAGTTCACATAATAGCAAATAGTCTAAAATTATCTATTAAAAATCAACCAGACTTCTTTCTTTCATTTGGTTGAACAAACATGTACAGGTGGTAGTGAACTTACCTGTTAGCAGCTGAACTCAAAATACTCAGATAAGTGTGGCACCTTGATAACGTCTCCCCGGTAAGCTCTTCTCTTAAATCTTTAATTGAGTATAATATTACAATAAAAACTCATTATACTATAACCAAAGCTTAAAAGTGCAGACCAAATGACCAATTTAGTGATCTTTTGCTACTACCCAAGTTAGTTGTTTGAGGAAAATATGAACTGTCCGGGTCTTGTTTTTTTTTTTTTTCTTTCTAACAAAACACAAATTATTACCTAAAACTAAACTGATATTCAGGTCATCCACTAAAGAAATCTAGCTAAGCACCAATCGATTATACATTTTGAATACATGAAAAAAAAATGGAATTCTTCTATTTTAAAATCTCTATGCATCAACTTATTAACTCGTCAATCAAAAATCCCCAAAATTAAAATAAATGAAACTAGCCCCCCTGAAGATAAAAAAAACTCAAGCTTAGGTTTCAAACAAATCACTTTTCAGACAATTATGCCTTCAAACCTGTAAAGAAATCTTAAAATCGAAAAATAGCAGCAGTTATCAGACTGGTCTACGATTGAATTGAAGTAAATCTAAAGTTAAGACAAAGTTTGAACTACGAAGTATAACATTAGCTCTAAGGACCTGATTCTGTGAGTTAGCAGCCCTATGCAGCTTCTAAAATAAACCAACCTCCATGTTCTCTAAACAAGTACTAATTTAAAAAAAAATCAATTATGCCAATTCCACTCAAAAATACAACCGAACAGTTTAACCAAAAAATTTAGAATTGCTTTCGGTGGAAACTTTTCTGCCTAAATAAACAACCTACTTTCAAAAGTATTCTGGCAATGTAAAAAGAAAGTATGTGACCGAAGGAAACTTGTAACATACCAGGTTTTAGATTTGATTCAGAACTAAGTACAACTTTGATCGCAAATTGAAAGTAATGAAAACTCTTCCGGGGAGAAGAGACGGCTGCTGATGGAAGGATAGAGACGCATGTCGAGACCTTGGTTTTTAATAACACGTATGACCACTTCTTAGGGATTTCAATCTCAAACATGGGCTTAGTTAACTGAATTGGGCTTCTAATCATCTCTTAAAAATATGTTTCTAAGACATTAAAAGTATCTTCTATTTAAAAATAAACTGATTAAGCTTTAAAACATTACTTATTTCTCCACTTGAAATTATTAGAGCTTACCGGTCAACGTTAACTGCCAAAACAACACATGATCAAACAATAAATCACATTATTCATAAAATAAACTTATTCATCTAACTAAATAAAATAAAAAATTAATGTAACTAGATCGCTAAACTCGGGGTGTTACAACCCCTCCCACCTTATAAAAGTTTCGTCCTCGAAACTTAGAACAACGCGGGATAACGCCATCTCACATTATTTCTTTTCTGACCTCTCACATGGTTTTAATGCAACGACAATAACTTTGTATCTTTTACAAGGTTACTTACTTCAGGAGCATGTGACTTTAATGCTTCAATTTCAAACTGACATTTCTTGCAATTATTAATCAGATCATGTTTCTATTATTGGGGAGACATACTACTACTACACAAGATCACAACAAATTCTTGATAATTTACCTCAACAAGAAAACTTGTTTAAACACTAATATTTTCTGCTAACACTACATCACAAGATCACAATCTCACAAGATTGCATATGTATACTAATTACTTTGCCTATTTTGCTTATTAAAATGAAAAGGAAAAACAATAGTCAAATTTTACTGTGTCATAAAAACTTACCCCACATACTACTAAAAATGAAAATGAAAATCACCTTCCACTGGTATTGGTATGCCTACATAAGCCAAACTTTTTTTTTTAAAAATATATAAGAATAGAACTCTTTCCAAAATTAATCCTTGATTGCTGAAATTCTAGCATTACAGTATCTGAAAAATGTTTTCTTCCCTGTGATCTTTAAGAGTTTCCTCTTCACAATTTATTGACGGTGTGGGTAAGGATGGAGTTTTCTCATTCGCCATTTATCGATTCTATCCAACAGATTGCTTTATTTATGCAACACGCCCTTTTTGTATTATACCAACTTATTAGCTATCTCACAAACTGTTCATCGTAGCAGCGTTATGACGTATGAGACTCATATGTAAGCCTATTTTTTAAAAAAAAAAAAATTAATGACACAAACATAGTATTATGTATTTACTGTTGGATCCTTATGACTTCTTCTTCTTTTAGGCGTGATGAAGTACTCAAGTCTAGTGCATGTTTTATACTTTCAAGAAAAATCATTCTCTTGGTATGTTACACTTCTACTGTCTATTGTCAAGGTGGTTCTCTACAAGAAAATCTTTCCTAAAGCATAAGGGGAATCTTCATTTGTTTTAATAATCCACTGTAAATTCTAAAGTAGATTAAACTACTAAACTCTCTTCTTCTTCTTTTTTTACCACGCAACACCTCACAATTATCTTTTCATCAAAAAGAAAAACAGACTTTCTTGTGTTTCTATACCTCTGGAGCCCAAACTTGTACTTCACTGATTTGTATTCCTGAGTAGTCAGGAAGTTGAATTAAATTGTAAATTAAATTTTTCATTTTTATCTTAGAATTTCAGTTTTGAAACAAACAACTATATCTAATTTTTAATGAGGTGAGCATCTATCTTATCCAATCTTAAAACATATATACTGTATAATTTAGTAATTGAAACTAATAGCCTCAATATCTAGAAGAAAAATCTTCTTGGGCTCCCTCTATATATCAGTATGCGGGTTAACATTAAACTGCCAATATTCAAAAGGAACTGTTTGTTTAGCTTTAAAATTTTCATGTTTCTTAAACACAAGACATCATAAATATTCTGTTTAACAAAATTTGAGATTGTCAAACACATAAGTGTCCGACATAAAATATTTGACAAAATATTATTATTATTATTTTTAAACGAATTTGACAAAAAAATACTTGACAACAGACATTCTTTTGTTTTCAATAATTTCTTTATAATTCTCTCTCTTTGCTTCCTTAATTAGCTGTAGGATGATTCGGAAAAAAAATGCTATGGATTTTTTTTTTAAACCCTTCATCCCTTCACTAATAAAAAAAATATGTTATGTTCAAACATGTAGTCTGTACGAGACAAAATAATAATAATAATAATAATAATATTTTAATTGTAAACTTCCTTTGGGCCGTTCATTATCGAAAGTTACTTCTTCGCTAATATTCCACAATAATGTTCCTTCTAACTTTAATCTTCCAACTATGTCAAAATAAGGAAGCCAAACTGCAAGTAACACATAATTCCATAGGTCATCTGGTAATAAACTGTACAGGGTCATATCCAAGACTAACTTAGACTAAATAATGAAATTTTCCGCAGTAAAAGTCTAACTCAGAATCCATTGTTTTTTTTTACACGGCATCTTTATTATGCTCTTTAGATTTCAATTGTAAAAAATAAACTAATCAAGGAATCTACACGATATCTTTCAAAAGAAAAATCTAAATAATTACGCTCTTATCGGTTTTATATTCTAAATTTTAACTCCACTGATATATACTGATTTATTCAATCAAAAGTCGCACAGTACAACTTACCCAACTTTCCGGGTTTAAGCCTTTGACTTATAACAGTTTGTGGTGCCAACTTTATACTCTTTACTCCCACCAATTATTCTATTACTCATAGAGCATACTAGTTCCCCACACAAGCTCGTTGGGATACACTTTACCATTACTCATACATAATGGTTCTACGAGAGCTTGATAGTACCATACTACCATATTCTTTATTCTATCAAAATCTTCGTACTCTAGGTCACATCGTATTGAAACACACTTCACAAATCCCTATATCGTAGTGTGCACGAGGAGGTTCCAAGACTCACATGATCTACCAGAAACTAGTTTAATCTAATCCTTCCACTCAGCTCTTGTAATCTAACTTCTACGGACCAGATACTATTAAAGACTTGAATCACATATATAGACTTTAATGGCAGATCATTCTAAAGAAATTTAAGTGGTGAGACTCAATATCCTTTTGGTAACCAATGGGGGAAAAATGTGAGGGCAACCTTTGTAAAAAGAATGTACAACATTTTTTTAAATCTCAGTGCCAAAAGCTGAGAATACTCTGAAAATTTCTTTGAGATATTTTAAAACTCTAAATTTCTTCTGAAACATACTTTTGAGGAAATAACTAAATACAATACTAATATATCACTAAAAAAATTACTTATTTGAATTTTGGTAAAAAAAAATCACTGCCATGTGATCAATCATTAATCACTAAACGCATTAAATGATTAATCAACACACTTTAAAACTTATTTTGAAATAAGCATTTACAACGTAAAGAAATGTATAATCTGACCATTGATCATTTTAAAGTAGTGTCCGATCACCGATATCTCCTGTTGGAATCATCAAATCGCTGAGGGGCCCTCCCAGCAATTTAAGATACCAAACATGAAACACCGACACTCAACACTTAAAAAAAATCATGCAGCTTATGATATTGTTGATAAAACATTTGAATCCACTATTTAAGAGCTTTTGAAATCTAAAGTGAAGCTTCAACATTTTACATTAAAAAAATAAGCTCTAACTTATAACTACACTATTTTTTTTGGCAAATAATAAGATAGAGCTAATATCATGAGCATTTTTAAAATAGTTTTAATTTATAAATAGATAAATGCAATAACTATAATACAATGACTCACGTGCTTGTGGGAAATATTCTTTCGTTGTAAGCACCGGGTCGGTGTGGTCCTACCAAACTGACATTTTATTTGATATATGTGTGCTAATAAATAAAAATAACTGATGGGAATCGAGTAATAAAACATGAAATATTAGACCAATTCTAAAACTTTTTTTTTAATCTAATTTAAATCTTGAGTAGACGGGGTGTATTCAAAATGTCTATTATGAAAGATCAACAAGATCTGAATGGTAAGACTGTAAATACTTAACCACGAGACATATATGACCAGTAGTCTACGACTATGGTGTTTTAAATAACCACCCTAAATACTTCCTATATGAAATAGAAGATCTAACTTAAGAGTTTAGGCACTCGAATAAAATTTTAATCTGGATAACTTGTAATGACATAATGGTTTTACGAGTTGAGTATACATTACTCTTACTTGACTTTTCTATCTAACTAATACCAACAACACCCAAATATATTATGGCCTAGATGACTCTTTACATAAATAAGTACTTACTTGGAAGATGACGAGCACGTGTACGGTGACAGATGAAGTTACGGGACAACCTGGGCTCTGATACCAAATTTGTAACGCCCCTCTCAGGGTTAAAGGAATCGTTACACTAACTTACTACTTTTAAAAAAAATAGCTGCAATTAACGGCCGTCTATTTAAGAAAATAACCCTGATAAAATCTCAAATATAATTAAAGTATAACTCTTGATAAAAACTCAATAAAATATAGTTATCACCAGCACATGTGATAACCACCTGGATCCAGGAATTTGCTAAAACTTCAAATCCTCAAATAAAAAAGATAAAGTAATATAAGTCACTTTATTATAACACTGAAATACTGAAACCAAATATTATCTAGCTAGAAGCCACCAAGGTCGTTCCCGTTAACTCATCTTGGCACGCGTTCCACTCCCTCGTCATCTTCCTAGGCCTTGGCCTTACCCTTAGTATCTGTACATGCGAAGAAAGAAAACTGATAAGCTTTACGCTTAGTAAGTCACTATGGATCCACAAAAATATATGAGAAGTCTATGCTAATTTATCAATAGATAAAATTAGGCTATAAGCATGCACTGAACAAGTAACTAACACAATAACACATATCTTCTCAAATTCATTTTGAGGGAGATCTCAAAAGAAAATATTTTCTAAAATAATTTCTCAAAACTGCTGGAGAGATCTCAAAATTTCTTTCTAAAAACATCTCTGTAAACTTTCTGAAGGAGATCTCAAAAACAACTTTCTGTAAGACTTTCTGAAAGAGATCTCATTAAACTTTCTGTAAAACTTTCTGAAAGAGATCTCATTAAACTTTCTGTAAAACTCTTTGTGGCTAATTTTAACTGTGGGCCCGTGATATGTACTCAATGGCGCCAATCTGACAGCTCAGGGAAGCGACCCACTAAACATATCGGACTATCTAAAACTAAAACTGCTAATCTGAGGGATCTAATTCCCGAGTACATATCACTTAATCTTTCACTTTAAGTATTAGTTCTTTTTATGGTGACGTTTGACTAAACATCATTAAATCTGGAAACGAAAGTACTAACAAATCTTGACTATGCCAGATAATAAACATAACTTAATCTAGCAATAAAATAACTCATCACATAATTCACATAGTTCACATAATAGCAAATAGTCTAAAATTATCTATTAAAAATCAACCAGACTTCTTTCTTTCATTTGGTTGAACAAACATGTACAGGTGGTAGTGAACTTACCTGTTAGCAGCTGAACTCAAAATACTCAGATAAGTGTGGCACCTTGATAACGTCTCCCCGGTAAGCTCTTCTCTTAAATCTTTAATTGAGTATAATATTACAATAAAAACTCATTATACTATAACCAAAGCTTAAAAGTGCAGACCAAATGACCAATTTAGTGATCTTTTGCTACTACCCAAGTTAGTTGTTTGAGGAAAATATGAACTGTCCGGGTCTTGTTTTTTTTTTTTGTTCTTTCTAACAAAACACAAATTATTACCTAAAACTAAACTGATATTCAGGTCATCCACTAAAGAAATCTAGCTAAGCACCAATCGATTATACATTTTGAATACATGAAAAAAAATGGAATTCTTCTATTTTAAAATCTCTATGCATCAACTTATTAACTCGTCAATCAAAAATCCCCAAAATTAAAATAAATGAAACTAGCCCCCCTGAAGATAAAAAAAACTCAAGCTTAGGTTTCAAACAAATCACTTTTCAGACAATTATGCCTTCAAACCTGTAAAGAAATCTTAAAATCGAAAAATAGCAGCAGTTATCAGACTGGTCTACGATTGAATTGAAGTAAATCTAAAGTTAAGACAAAGTTTGAACTACGAAGTATAACATTAGCTCTAAGGACCTGATTCTGTGAGTTAGCAGCCCTATGCAGCTTCTAAAATAAACCAACCTCCATGTTCTCTAAACAAGTACTAATTTAAAAAAAAATCAATTATGCCAATTCCACTCAAAAATACAACCGAACAGTTTAACCAAAAAATTTAGAATTGCTTTCGGTGGAAACTTTTCTGCCTAAATAAACAACCTACTTTCAAAAGTATTCTGGCAATGTAAAAAGAAAGTATGTGACCGAAGGAAACTTGTAACATACCAGGTTTTAGATTTGATTCAGAACTAAGTACAACTTTGATCGCAAATTGAAAGTAATGAAAACTCTTCCGGGGAGAAGAGACGGCTGCTGATGGAAGGATAGAGACGCATGTCGAGACCTTGGTTTTTAATAACACGTATGACCACTTCTTAGGGATTTCAATCTCAAACATGGGCTTAGTTAACTGAATTGGGCTTCTAATCATCTCTTAAAAATATGTTTCTAAGACATTAAAAGTATCTTCTATTTAAAAATAAACTGATTAAGCTTTAAAACATTACTTATTTCTCCACTTGAAATTATTAGAGCTTACCGGTCAACGTTAACTGTCAAAACAACACATGATCAAACAATAAATCACATTATTCATAAAATAAACTTATTCATCTAACTAAATAAAATAAAAAATTAATGTAACTAGATCGCTAAACTCGGGGTGTTACAACCCCTCCCACCTTATAAAAGTTTCGTCCTCGAAACTTAGAACAACGCGGGATAACGCCATCTCACATTATTTCTTTTCTGACCTCTCACATGGTTTTAATGCAACGACAATAACTTTGTATCTTTTACAAGGTTACTTACTTCAGGAGCATGTGACTTTAATGCTTCAATTTCAAACTGACATTTCTTGCAATTATTAATCAGATCATGTTTCTATTATTGGGGAGACATACTACTACTACACAAGATCACAACAAATTCTTGATAATTTACCTTAACAAGAAAACTTGTTTAAACACTAATATTTTCTGCTAACACTACATCACAAGATCACAATCTCACAAGATTGCATATGTATACTAATTACTTTGCCTATTTTGCTTATTAAAATGAAAAGGAAAAACAATAGTCAAATTTTACTGTGTCATAAAAACTTACCCCACATACTACTAAAAATGAAAATGAAAATCACCTTCCACTGGTATTGGTATGCCTACATAAGCCAAACTTTTTTTTTTAAAATATATAAGAATAGAACTCTTTCCAAAATTAATCCTTGATTGCTGAAATTCTAGCATTACAGTATCTGAAAAATGTTTTCTTCCCTGTGATCTTTAAGAGTTTCCTCTTCACAATTTATTGACGGTGTGGGTAAGGATGGAGTTTTCTCATTCGCCATTTATCGATTCTATCCAACAGATTGCTTTATTTATGCAACACGCCCTTTTTGTATTATACCAACTTATTAGCTATCTCACAAACTGTTCATCGTAGCAGCGTTATGACGTATGAGACTCATATGTAAGCCTATTTTTTTTTAAAAAAAAAAAATTAATGACACAAACATAGTATTATGTATTTACTGTTGGATCCTTATGACTTCTTCTTCTTTTAGGCGTGATGAAGTACTCAAGTCTAGTGCATGTTTTATACTTTCAAGAAAAATCATTCTCTTGGTATGTTACACTTCTACTGTCTATTGTCAAGGTGGTTCTCTACAAGAAAATCTTTCCTAAAGCATAAGGGGAATCTTCATTTGTTTTAATAATCCACTGTAAATTCTAAAGTAGATTAAACTACTAAACTCTCTTCTTCTTCTTTTTTTACCACGCAACACCTCACAATTATCTTTTCATCAAAAAGAAAAACAGACTTTCTTGTGTTTCTATACCTCTGGAGCCCAAACTTGTACTTCACTGATTTGTATTCCTGAGTAGTCAGGAAGTTGAATTAAATTGTAAATTAAATTTTTCATTTTTATCTTAGAATTTCAGTTTTGAAACAAACAACTATATCTAATTTTTAATGAGGTGAGCATCTATCTTATCCAATCTTAAAACATATATACTGTATAATTTAGTAATTGAAACTAATAGCCTCAATATCTAGAAGAAAAATCTTCTTGGGCTCCCTCTATATATCAGTATGCGGGTTAACATTAAACTGCCAATATTCAAAAGGAACTGTTTGTTTAGCTTTAAAATTTTCATGTTTCTTAAACACAAGACATCATAAATATTCTGTTTAACAAAATTTGAGATTGTCAAACACATAAGTGTCCGACATAAAATATTTGACAAAATATTATTATTATTATTTTTAAACGAATTTGACAAAAAAATACTTGACAACAGACATTCTTTTGTTTTCAATAATTTCTTTATAATTCTCTCTCTTTGCTTCCTTAATTAGCTGTAGGATGATTCGGAAAAAAAATGCTATGGATTTTTTTTTAAACCCTTCATCCCTTCACTAATAAAAAAAAATGTGTTATGTTCAAACATGTAGTTTGTACGAGACAAAATAATAATAATAATAATAATAATATTTTAATTGTAAACTTCCTTTGGGCCGTTCATTATCGAAAGTTACTTCTTCGCTAATATTCCACAATAATGTTCCTTCTAACTTTAATCTTCCAACTATGTCAAAATAAGGAAGCCAAACTGCAAGTAACACATAATTCCATAGGTCATCTGGTAATAAACTGTACAGGGTCATATCCAAGACTAACTTAGACTAAATAATGAAATTTTCCGCAGTAAAAGTCTAACTCAGAATCCATTGTTTTTTTTTTACACGGCATCTTTATTATGCTCTTTAGATTTCAATTGTAAAAAATAAACTGATCAAGGAATCTACACGATATCTTTCAAAAGAAAAATCTAAATAATTACGCTCTTATCGGTTTTATATTCTAAATTTTAACTCCACTGATATATACTGATTTATTCAATCAAAAGTCGCACAGTACAACTTACCCAACTTTCCGGGTTTAAGCCTTTGACTTATAACAGTTTGTGGTGCCAACTTTATACTCTTTACTCCCACCAAAGCAGCAATATGGACCTGAATACTAATACCACTAAAATAAGCATGAATACGGAGGAACATGTTTAAATCTTATCCAGCTTTTCGGCCTTGATGACAGGATTGGCCTTAGATATTGCATCGCGTGCTGCAGAGCGATAGTCAAACAGGCAATCATGTTTATCAGAGTAGCGGTGCGAGCCACAGAAAATGCCACCACAGCGGCACTTGAATCCAGTCAGGCCAACCCGCTTCTTGCAACTGGCACAACGGCTAGGACCGTCTTCAGCCTTAATAAGGTCCGGGGACTCGCCTGAGCGCAGAGTAAGGGATGAGGGTATTGAAACCGTCACAGCTTCAACAAGCACGTCTGGAGAGGCAACAAGGGCTCGTGGTCTCTCCTTGTCGTCCCGTTAACAAGATTTTCAAATGACGATGCCGCAAGGTTCTTGTTTCAACACCATGTCTTTGTAACACTTGGAGCACCTGTTCATGTTTGCTGCACTACCAAAGAAACCACAGTTGTTGATGCACAAAATTGGGCCTTCATGGGGGGCGTGCCATCCTGTCTCATTCTGCTCCATATCTCCTTGCTGCTTTCTGTAAGGCAATCATTCAGATGGAAACACTACACATTTATGCAATATCATAAACCTTCCACTAACCCTCTCCATGGATGGAACTCTAAAATAAAAATCAAACACAAGAAAGAAGATATTCTATAGCCTATCCATGTCCACATGCAAAACTGCACCTCAATGGAAGGACAGTTTAGCAGGGATTATTTGGCTGAGACCACTAAATGATGATGATCTGCTGAATTTTCAAAAGCAGAAAACAGTGCATAAAATTGATTACAGGCAAATGATGATCTCTTATTGTGGCTAGCAAATGGCATATGTAATTGTTCATCTAATTCTTAATCCCAAACTACTATTGGTCGGCTAGGAGGAAATTTGGAGGGCAGAGGGCGCTACTCTCAAGTTAATTTGGAGATCTTTTTATTTTTTACTGCGTATTTTTACGAATAAAATCATGAACCGTAGAAAGACTGAAAAATAAACTGAGAAATAAATAAACAACACTAGAGGAGGGGAGAGAAACAGCGACGAATGAAGGCGAAGTATGAAATGCCAGGAAACGGGTTTTGGAAACGGACCGGTACTGAGAGATTTGTCGTCGATTCGGAATCGTGAAGAGAACCCCCCCCCCCCCCCCCCCCCGAATTCGCTTCGTATCCCTCACTCCCTGCCATCTCTTTTTAGTCCTTTTGGTGTCTCTACTCTCTAGTTCTGGGTTTATTATTAGGATGTTTTAGTGGAAATTCTCCTTATGGTCTCTTTTCTATAATCTCCTATCATTAATGTCCCAATTGTCTTTTCTTTTCATATATAACTTTTTTATTTTCACTTTTGTTTTTTTTTTATTTCATTTTTTTTTACCGTTTCCTGCCAACGTTCTCCACCTATACGAATTTCCTTCAACCGCACCTTTTTCTTTCTTCCCGTTTCTGGTTTTCTTCTTCTCCAATTCATCTTTTCTCATTCGTCCATCTTCACGATAATGTCGACTGCAAATACTCCTACTCGTGTTACAAGATCTTCTTCTCGGCTGAATATGGATGGAAGAAGTTCTGATCATCACAGTTCTTTTGCTTCCCCTCTTCGATCGTTCTAGAAATTCGAACTTGGCTCGTAAGAAGAGAAAAAATGAAAATGCTCCAAAGCCCCACAAGAAAGCCAAAGTATCCGTGAATGTACAAGCGAAGAAGTCTACTAAATCTGTTAAGGAACCAAAAATTAACAAATATCCTTCAACATTTAAGGTGCTTAGTTTGCTATTGTTATATTTACAATGATTGTTCTATTTTGCATGTGTACTTTTATCCTTCTATTTGAATTTGTTTTTGTATAATTTTGTTTATTCAATTTTAATTTTGTTTCATTTTTTTGTAATCCAGGAGTGGCATTATTTTGTTCCATGTGAATCGTGGTTTAACAGTGTAAATCTTGAGGCGAAGATGACTCATGTGCAATTGGGATTATTTAGTGAAACTTGCTTTGGTAAATTGTTGGATTTTCAAGACCTGAAATTGCAGCCTCAACTTGTGCATTGTTTGCTTTTGCGAGAAATTAGTCACAGTATTCCCAACGAGATCTGGTTTGGTGTTTTCCATTGATGAATTTGGTGTTGTGAGTCTTGTGACTGGTTTAAAGTGTAGTGGTGAATTTGATACTTCTACTATTCCTTCATCAGACAGTAATTCACTTATCAAAAAGTATTTCAACAGTTGTTTTAAGGTTACTCGTGAAGATATTTAAAATTGTTTTCTTGGTCAAAAGGCTGATTGTGATGAAGATGCAGTTAAGATCGATATTCTGTATGTTCTTGGTTTGTTCTTGTTTACTTCATCTAAGGAGAAGGTCATAAGTGAAACTTATTTGGCTATTGTTGATTCTAGTTTATGGGATTCCTATCCTTGGGGGAAATAACTTATTGATGTCACGTTACAGAACTTTAAGGGCAGACTTGTTAGAGTAGATAATTCAGAAAGTGATTATTTCTTTTATCGTATTTTAGGATTTCCTCCATCTCTTCAGGTATAGTTTTATGAGTGATATGATTATTGCGATGATGTGTTTGCTTCTAGATCTGGTTCTACTATTCACAGAATGTTGTCTTGGCACTCTTCTGCTGGACACACTTTCAAGAAGTTGAATATGGAACTTCTTTGTATATACGTCTCTCAGGTTTTTCCTTACTTTTCTTTTCATTATCAATTTTGTGTTTTTATTACTATCTCCGTCCCGGTAGACTTTGGCAAGTGCAAAGTAGGTGAGAAATAAGAATATTAAAAACTGTGTGGTTGAAATTTGTGCAGAGGAGAGAGAACTGTGTAAAACCACAAATTATTTGTTTTAATAGGAAAGTAGCAAACTTTTTTGGGACAACCAAAAAGGAAAAGTTGACACAAAGTCCAATGGGACGGAGGGAGTATGATTTTATTCCATTAACTTTGTTTTCCTTTTATGTTTTTTTTTACTTGAGTTGGATGCATTTGTTTTCTACTCATCCATTCAAGCTGATGGTCCCGGATAGGGTAAAAGTCTAGAGGGGGGGGTGAATAGACTTTTAAGTCTTTTTCAACTTTTTGAAGTTTTTCCCTCTAGATGGATTGATCTATGATCTTTTGAGAGATCAATAGATGCACAGCGGAAGTCTTTACCCTCTTTATACTTAGTGTGTGACAACTTTCTAGTTTAGATGATGTTTAGACTGGTTACGAGAGGAAGTAGGCTGGTGAGCAGGTGACTACTTAGGCTACTGCTGCACAAGCAGTTTGCTGACTGGCAGGCAACTGCTGAGTTGGCAGTTGGCTGGTAGGCAGGTTACTGCTGAGGCAACTGCTGAGGACTAGGATGACTCTTGGATGGCTTTTTGTTCTGGCTTGTTATGGGTTTTGGAAAGACACGTTTGGATGGGCAGTGGGTTCAGCAGGAGGGTGAAGACCAGTGTACTGCTGAGTTACCTTTCGAGTTTAAGACAACTTCTAGTGGAAAACACTCTCAAGGAGAGTGAGTTATTAAGCAGTAGGCGAAGCAGTAGAGTCGAGGAAGACTACTGCTTAGGATGCTGCTGGCAAACTACAAACCTTTAGTGAGATGTGTTTGGTGTGTGTTCTGTATGTATGAAAGTAAATCAACCCATCATATATCCTGGTTCAGAGGTGGTGTAATCCTCCTACATCCAGTCCCACCCTATTTCAGATGGATTTCCACTAAAGTATTCAGCCCAATACAATTAGTGCCAATCTAGCCTTGACAACTCTGGTCTAGATTGAAGGTTTTTCACAATGAGTATAACACCACTCAAAGTTACTCAGTCCTTAGACTTTTCTCGATTGATCCAGTGGGGATCAAAAGGTACTCTATCTATCTAACCACACTTTAGGATCCGAACAATTGTTCTCCTAAGTGTTTACAACCACTTGTGAAATACAAGGAATTTCTGGCCACCAACTAAAATCTAAGCTCTAAAAATATAACAATTTATGATCTAGTCTAAGAGCTTAGTGAAGCATGAGTCAAAACAGAGTATTCTAGCAATTTTTTTCTTTTGCTGGATATTCGTAGTGTAATAATAGAATCTCTTGCTTTGAACTCAATGACTTGCTTTTGATCTCATGCTTCTGCCTATTTTTATAGGCATCTCCAGTAGATTAATCTCCTCCGTTGGTTAAGAGGATTTAATCCTAGACGTCCAAAGTATTGTACTTGCGTCTTCTTGTGTTGGAGCAGGATAAGGATTTGTCTTTTGAAGGCCACTTGCTTTGTACGAATGGTAAACCCATACCTTAGGCCTTTTCTTCACTGTTCACCTGCCATTCGGTTTTGGCTTTGTCTTGCAACTACACTCGTGTAGTAAAGTGCGTGAATCTGCTCAATTTGTGTAGTGAAGTAGTAAAATGTGTGACTTAAAGTATTTTGTACCAAATAAATTTTGTACTGGTAGGATCTTTTAATTATCCTATTAAGGTAAAATTACCTTATTGCATTTTGTTCTTTCCAGTACAATTTATTTGGTACAAATTTTACAATAAAATTTGTCACTTATTTTACTAATCACTTTCTTTCTAAAGTGACATGATTTAAACTTATGTACCAAATAAAAACTATACTGGTTGGATTTAAATATCCATGTGAGGTAAAAAAAATTTACCTCATTGTATTTTATAATTCCAGTATGTTTAATTTGGTACATAGTTTTTACACTGGTGTTTTTGTCACTTTTAGAGTTTGTGAAGTTTAGCAGGTATTGTGTACAACTTAACTGGTAGGATAACAAATCCTATTAAGGTAAAAGTTATTACCTTATTGCATTTTGTGTTCCAGTTAGTTGTTCACATTTTATTTAAACAAATAGATTTAACTGGTTGGATTTATATGATATCCTTTTAAGGCAATAAAATATTGCCTTTTTGCATTTTATGATTTTTCCAGTCAAATTTATTTGTTTAATTAA